AGTGGACCTTCTTCCACAGGCTTTCTGTTTAACCCCTCCTTTTTTTTGTGTTTGCTATCCCCGTTTCAGGTCAACCATATTTTTTGGTTTTGCAGTAGAAAATTAGGATGTTTAAGGATTAGTTTGAAAAATACTTTACCTAAAGGTGCATAGTTTTGCAATTTGACATCTTTTAAATGTACGGTCCAGCAGCTGGCTGTTAACCAACTTTTTTGCGTCCTGCTCCTGTATTATTTGTAGGGAACAAAGCCTGAAGGGTAACCTGACTCCGCCAGATGGATTTGCTCCGCATATCCATCTGGAAACCTTCCGTTGAAGTAATTTTGGGAAGGGGCGAAAATACTGGTTAGCTGATTGGCCTATGTTGGTGATAGACGGGCCAAATAAACCAATCAGATCAACGAAGCATATGACCTAACAGAGCGACGACGAAAACACAACCACAAGCCAGGCTACTCTTGCCGAAACCAGTCGGGAGAAGAGCAAAAACATCTTTTCCTCTGAGAAAAGCCTCCAGAGCAGTGTTTTGCTCTTCTTTCAGTGAAGAAATACTCTGTAATTCCGATAAACCTTGCTCGATAGCCACGCTAACGCTAGTTTCATCGGCTGAAGCCGCCATGTTCTTTAGACTGAACTGTTGCGCTTCTCGTTGCGTCACACCTCAACCCGCCTCAAAGCCAACGCTGATTGGACGTTCGTTTGGTGAACGGCTCCAAATTTTCTTTAACGGAGAGTCTCCAGACTGATCTGCGAGTGAAACCTTGAAAGCTCGCGAGATCAGGATGGTCTCACAAGGCTACCTGAAGGGGGCCTTGACTTTAGAGTACAGATCTCCTTAGTGTAATTGTGATTCTGACTTTGGATTCTGGAAAGTCACAGGTCTTGCCTTGTTTGCTCCAACACTGAAATCATTCAGATCACACTGGAAAAATTATGTAGAAATATGTAAAAAAAAGTGTCTTAAATTAAATTATTTACTGTTAATTCCAGTAGTTAAATAAGATGATCTACCAAAGGAATGAGTGTTTTTACTCTTAAAATAAGATATTTAGATAAAATGCAAAATACAAATAAGACAATGCAATTGTGTTTTATTTTAAATGTAAATTGTCTTGTTCTATTGGCAAAATGTCTCTTTTAGCTTCTCAATTCAAGAACAAATGCACTTATTTTAAGAAAAAGTGACTTATTGTATTTATTTAAGTTAGAGGTCTTCAACGTTTTCTAGGCCAAGGACCCCCGAACTGATGGCGAGATGGAGCGGGGACCCCTTAATTATATATATCGTGTGAAATTATGTTATATTGGGATTATTAAAGTATTTCTGATTCCTGGTTGATGGGACAGGTGTTGTGAATGAAATGGTGCCCAGCTTGAAAGAGCTCCTGTGTGTCGCTGAATGTGAGCATTGTTGACTGAAAGACATCTTCTGCCTACATTTATCTACTAAAGTGTGTTTTAAAGACATTGCAATTAGTGGAAACAATTGCAGGGGGAATATAAAAGAAAATCTTAATCAACTAAATCTTTCGCGACCCCCATGCAGTACCTCTGTGGACCCCCTAGGGGTCGCGGCCCCCCTGTTGAAGACCTCTGATTTAAGCATTGAGATTATTTTCCAGTGCAGCTTCAGAGAGGCTTTTTAACAACAAGTATTCATCAGTATTTAAAGCATTTTGTGTTTAGATCATTAAAGGCAATTGAACTTCTTTTGCCATGATTGTAAATCATTATTTTCTGCATGTAGCTGTTATGGATATAAAGGATTTCAGTTGTCTTCTTGCAGTAATCTCTTCTGAAGTCCAGCATGTTTGCCCTGCAGCGTCTCCTCAGCATGTCAGTATGGCTTATCTTATTTGATTGACAGACTGAAATGTTTTTTTCCCACTCTCTGTCTCTGTTACAGAATTACTTTCTGACACTGCAGCAGAAAGTCTGGCAGGAGCAATCTGGGTCCCAATGATTCTATTGAAAGAGACTGGCGACATGCTCATATTTGGGTCATTTGGAACCGGCCAGTGTGGCTTCCACATAGATGTGAATAAAGCTGAACGCCACCTATAGAACCTTAGTTTTTACAAAAAAAAAGTTTCTGAAATGTAAGAACATGCCAAGCCTGTTCAATTAGGTTTATTTATATAAAACATGTCATCCAAATGCACTTTATACAGACAATTCAATCAGACATCAGGCACTAAACTGAAATCATTGGACTCAAAGTGGAGAACAATGAGAGTTTAAAAAATGAGATAAGAGCTGGAGGGAGTGGAAAATGGAGGCTTGAGCTCACAGCATCCTAACTTCCTCCACAGTTTGTATCACACATCTCACTCGACTCAAATCACATTGAGAACGGATTATGGGTGTGATTTGGGTCCCTCTAGCAACACCCATATTTATTGAGCACCCATTATCACCACCAAATCAATCCGCTTAAAGCAAACAAACTGCTAAAAAAATAATGAGCATGGTGCCCATTTTTTATTTAAAAACTTCCAGCATGCTCTCAAGATCTGCAAAGACGTCATTGCATCTTTGTTTTTGTTTTTTCCAGCTTCTGATACTTTGCTGGTTTGTTTACTTCCACAGTGCAGAAACAATAGTTGGAGATTTCTCATTATAGTTGCTTCATCTGGTCTGCTCCTGTTTGGCTTTGACAGCGTCATGGGGAGAAAAAAGCCGCTATAGACAATAGAGGCCAGTCTGTTTTTCAGTGCTTAGCTCTATTTCTCTCCTAGACATACAGCAGCTATGGGCTCAGCTTTTACTGTGACTATCTGGATGTGCTCTCTTTCATTCCTTTTGCCATGAAAACTGGTTCAGAGCTCATCTTCCAAGCTGCTTCTTTCCTAGAAAGCTTTGTGATGACCTTGTATTGGCATTTGCTGACATATTCACGCATTTGCAGATTCATTTGTGTATTGAGCCTTGAAATGAAATGAAGCACGTGCATTACAGCTCCTTCCATTTTGATCCATTATTCATGTTTTGATGGATTTCTTTATAAATTTGTGTTTTTTTCCGTTTAAATAGAGACTTGCATACATTTTGTTACGTTACTGTTATTTTTACTCTGTAAAGAAAAAGAAAAATCTATCAGATTCAAAAATCGACCCCAAAATCTGGTTTCTATTAGACTATTGTCTGATATAATTAGCATTTGTTGATCTCTAGGTAAAAAAAGATCTTTAATCTTATCATGTCAACCAAATTCATATTTTGAACATGCTCTCATTTATTGATTAAATTTTTGGGATATCTCTAAAGCTGTGCCAATATAGACAGGCTGGAACCACTCTTTCAGTTCTTCAATCCTGCAGTATTTGTTAGTTCATCCCCTAACGTTTTGCTCTCTGCTTTTTCTCATCACAGCAGCTTCTTCTGCCCTATTCTGTTATACACTGTGTGCAGAATTATTAGAAAATTAGTATTTAAACCCCATCAACCTTTTCATACATGTTGTTCTACTCCAAGCTGCTTGAAAGCCAACTACCAATGAAGTAAATCAGGTGGTGTGCATCTCTGTGGTGAGAAGGGGTGTGGCCTAATGACATCAACACCCTATATAAGATGTGCTTAATTATTAGGCAGCCTCCTTTTCTTTGACAAAATGGGTCAGAAAAGAGATTTGACAGACTCTGAAAAGTCAAAAATTGTTAGATGTCTTTCAGAGGGGTTCAGCAGTTTGGAAATTACCAAGATTTTGAAGCGGGATTATCGCACAATCAAGCGGTTCATGGCAAATAGCCAACAGGGGCGCAAGAAGCGTGTTGAAAAAAGAAGACGCAAAATAACTCCTCAATGAATTGAGAAGGATCAAGCGTGAAGCTGCCAGGAAGCCATTAGCCACCAGTTGGGCCATATTTCAGAGCTGCAACATGTCTGGAGGGCCGAGAAGCACAAGGTGCTCAATACTGAGGGACCTGGTTAAGGTAAGGAAAGCAGAAAAAAGGCCACCTTTGAACAAGACGCACAAGACAAAACGGCTTGTGTGTCTTGACAGCA